TTTCTCTAGTTAGTTGCATAAGAAAAGATCTAGAAAATTGGTGATAATTCTTCATGACGTGAGCGAGACTAACAAATAAATTTGGGTGCTCAATTGCGTATAGTGATAATGTCAGTATCTTGATGAATGAAATTAATCCGGATTATTGTTTCAAGCCTTTTAGACTTCCTAATTTGGATGAACGTTTCAACTCTTTTTTATCGGATCATTAATAAAAAAACTAAAGTCAAATTGAATGATTGTGGGACTAAAATTCAAGAAAAAACCCCCCACGTACAGGTGGGGGTTTCACAGGGGCCTGGTAGGCCTCTCACAACCTGGCGGGCTCCACATGTTTTAAAAAAGAAAAAAAAACCCACCCCTCCTCCCTATGTGTCTTGCCTGTAAACCACCCACCCCCATTTTCCCTGTACGTCTAGCATAGCTTAGTGTTGTCAAGACGATGAACTATTTTATTCAAAAGAATTAAGATCACGAGACAAATGAACGCTAAAACATGATTGAATTGTTCATAATTCAACATTGGATAATTTGTGTACCTCATTATTGATGTAGATCACTACTTGTCAATTTTGTCATAGATATTTTTCTCATTTTCATGCTGCAACCACAAATTTTCAATTCCATTATTGTACACAATTATTACTTTCTGAAGTTAAGATAAAAAGTTGTAGATAATTAGATATCAATCAACCCTACTCTTTCATTTTCACGAAGATGACTATGAGATTCGTAAACCCCACGTGTTGATGCCATTCTACCCTCCCGTTATTGCAATCTTGTATGAAGTTAAACGGAAAGAGTTGTAATTGAAAGATAAGTTGTAAATTCTTGCAGTCGAACTTAGAAATTAAATTTTTTAACTTAATGAGATGCATATGCAATTATGCATCATCACTATTGTTTCAATTTCGCAATATTTTATGCATAAGGTGTAAGATTGTAAGTAATAATCATAATTATAGTGACAATTTTATCAGCTTATCTAATTGAGAGCTTTCACGTAGCTAATCCAGCTACATATATATAAGAAATTGTTCAGTTCCATGTATAACATTCCATTAATATTGAGATTAAGGATTAACTCATGTGATAAGCAAAGAAACCTTAAGTTTGACTAAGTTCATGTTTGATATAGATTCTTTAAAATTTATTTTTAACCACACATCTCTTGATAAAATAAAATAAATTAATACACTTGGACCATAATTTTTCCTACTTTATAATCAAATATTCTTCCAAACAATCATGTTATAAGTACATAAAATTTTGACAGACAATACATGACGGGAATTGATTGGAAGATGAAGGGAGAAAAAAATTGTCAAATCATAAACGGCCACATCAATGTCGGTAAGAGATTTGTCGAAAATTCTATGTACGCATGATATTTTCCTCTCCAAAATAGTATCACTTTTCATGTAATTTATTGTTAAAATATTGATTTTAACAATATTTTAAACAATTAATGACATAAATTTTAACACATCTTCGAGTGTCAAATTTGTTGTTTTTAATTCTAGAATGGATGACATAATTCTATCGTTGAGTATTTTATACCGTGACGTTGGAGTGGTAAAGATAAATTCCACCATAATTTCCCAATTCCCAACTCTAAAGGCATCAACATTTTATTGAAGAAAAGCAAAAATGGAGGGCATAGACCACAAATCAATAACTGTAAATGGCATAAACATGCACGTTGCAGAAATCGGGCAGGGCCCTTTTGTGCTATTCCTCCACGGTTTCCCTGAATGCTGGTACTCATGGCGCCACCAAATGACCTTCATGGCAAGACACGGCTTTCGGGCGGTGGCGCTGGACCTCCGCGGATACGGAGACACTACTGGTGCACCAGTAAATGATTTCACAAAATTCACCACGCTTCATGTGGTGGGTGACGTGGTGGCGCTCCTTAACGCCGTCGCGGCCCAGGAGGAGAAAGTGTTTGTTGTTGGGCATGACTGGGGGGCCATGATTGCGTGGGCTTTGTGTTTATATAGACCGGATAGGGTTAAGGCTTTGGTGAATTTGAGCGTGGCGTTCCTGCCGAGAAACCCCAGCAAGAAGCCCGTTGAGAGCTTGCTTGCAGTTTATGGGGAGGATTACTATATTTGCAGATTCCAGGTTCTTTCATTTTCTTCCTCATACAATAAGCATACTGTATTTTTGCATATAATTTGGAAAATCCCTATTTTTTATTTCTTGATTTTTTTGGTTTGGGGTGGAGCTAGCTCACAAATAAATCCAGCTGCTAAAGAGAGAGTATCCAATGAGCTTATAAACCCCCGACGGCGTTTCAATCTAACTATACGAATATACGATGTTAAGAAGTAACCATTGGATCCACCCCATTCAAGACGAGAGTCCTTAATGAGGGGTGTCTACTCTAAAATAATGTTACAAGGACGTTGAGTCATACTTACTCTTAAAATTGACTTGTAAAAGGGAGGGTGTTCAATGTGCTTGTAATCACATGGCATGGGGCAATGTGAAATAAATAAGACTCATCAAAGGCACCTTCGTTCGATTTGATATATCGTTAGACAACCTCATCTAAGAGTTTTTTAAGCTTTAGAGAAGGGCCAAACTTATTTATTTAAATTGGATCTTCAACACTCTGGACCTGATATTATCGTATTTTCTGCTAATTCTTGTCCTTATAAATCTTAGTTCCATAAATTGTTTGTCCTCACAAATTACGCCATTTAGGCAATGCTCTCATGAAAAGGCGGCTATATTCCCTTTTGTTGGAAGATGAATTGGACTCTAATTTGCTAGGTATACAACCTGTCATGAGGCGCCAAAAGAAGTCCGAAAGTGAGTAGAGTCTATCTTTATAAAAGAAAAAAGCTAATTCCTAAAGCTGGAATTTTGGACCTTATATCACATCCATCATATAGTATTGAATAAAGGATATGCACAAGGGAGATGCATCTTCTCGTTCATCTCGTTTCCAATACATTGCAATAAAGTTTAAAGTAAAAGTTGCAGTACATTATAGTTTTAGCTGGCTCATTCATCTCGTTTCCAATACATCGCAATAAAGTTGAAAGCAAAAGTTGCACTACATTATAGTTTTAGCTGATTCTGTTCCATTCCAGGAACCTGGAGAAATAGAAGGCGAGTTTGCCCAAATGGGTACTAGGAGGGTGTTGAAGAATTTCCTGACCTACGACAATCCAGGACCACTTTACCTTCCTAAGGGGAAAGGTTTTGGAGAATCGGCAGATACTCCAATTATCTTGCCTTCATGGCTATCTGAAGAAGAAGTTGATTACTATGCTAGCAAATACGAGAAGAGTGGCTTCACAGGGGCTTTAAATTACTACCGGGCACTTGACAAGTATGCTCCCCTTTGTCGATTGTGTTGAGCCAAATTCGCTAATCTACATGGAAAATACAACAAACAAATCTTTTAATGATAGTTAATTTTTGTTTGATATTCATTTGACTGTTGCACATTATTTCAAATATATAACAAAAGAGCACTATAAGGTTTAAAATGGAATTGATTTCTTTAGTTTGTAGGTTTTAACTCCATTTCTTGAAGATGTTGTTAATGCACTGATATCACTTGAAAATGTCCCATTTATATTGGATCTTTTGGTATTTAATTCTTGATCTTAATTTCTCGGATTTTGCAGAAATTGGGAGCTCACAGCTCCATGGACCGGGGATCAAATTAAAGTTCCAGTGAAGTTTATTGTGGGTGACCTTGACCTAACCTATAATGCCCCTGGCAGCAAAGACTTCATACATAAAGGAGGGTTCAAGAGATATGTGCCATTGCTGAAGGAAGTTGTTGTAATGGAAGGAGTAGCTCATTTTATCCATCAAGAAAAGGCTGATGAGATTAATAAGCACATTCTTGCTTTCTTCCAAGAATTTTAATCCCCCTCGTCTTCAACAATGTAAATGTCCTTTTTCTCTGTGTTATCAAGGCTGAGTCGTGTTGTTTGAAGCATTTTCCAAAAGTTTGGCATGTACTGTACTGTTTGTATTCTGATTGACATCTAAATAATTGGTCAGCAAAATAATCTATTTCCATAATATGCGACACACAGGATTCTGTTTCAAACCTAGATGTTTAGCAAACGGCTAGATACCTGGACCGCTGGACATAGCACTTCCTGTACTACCGTTCCTTCCGCATTAAAACTTATCTTCTCACACAGCCACATCCACATCAACACTCCCACGCTCACACAGAGACTCGATGAGAGAGAACACAAGAGGATACCTGTTAATGGCCTGAACATGCACGTAGCCGAGCTTCGTCAGGGTCCACTAGTTCTCTTCTCAGGCGCCACCAAATTTTGGATGTGCAGCTTTAGGTGATTGGGCTGTGGCACCGGACGGTCCGGACCTGAGGGGCTATGGTGACACCCCTGATGCACTACTCGTGGACCTATCAAAATCCACTGTCCTTCACATAGTGGGAAACCTGATTGCCCTCCTTGATGCCGTCGCGTGGATGAGGATGAAGTATTTCTTATTGGGCATGATAGGGGTGCTTTCATAGCCTGGCATTTGTGTACGTACAGGTCTGACGAGGTTAAGGCTCTGGTGAACTTTATTATTGCTTTTATTCCCAGAAGTCCTGAAATAAATCCTATGGACATGTTTCACGGTGCATATGGGGAGGATCACTACACATGCAGATTTCAGGTAGGCTTAAATTGTCCAAGAAATCTTTAATTTCTTCCTGGAACTTCTGTATTTAAAATTTTCAGATGCTTATAATTGTGGTTTTGCGAATCATTTAATATTGGATGTGAACAAATTTTGATCCATTTTATGATTACGGGGTACCCTTCATTCGCCTTTATCCACACCTTCCTATGATTATGGTTCTGAATTCTGATGATTTGGATTGTTTTCATGTATCTGAAACTGGAAATTAGATTGTCAGAAATTTTTGTGCAGTGCTCATATGGATTATTCATCTGTTGAATTCTGCATCCAATTAATCAAGGCCAAAGGTAAATATATTATATAACCTCTGAAATTCTTAATTTCTGCTAGAATTCTGGATCAGATCAAAAACTGAACGGCTATCTGATAACAGAAGCAGTTGATTTGTTGCATTGAAGAAACAGAGAAAGAACCTATATATAAGAGCTTTAAGAAGAAAAGTTTATTAGAAGAACCAAATGTCGTTCATACTTGTGCATGGTTTTGTGGATCTCAAAATTTGGTCACTAGTTATCTTTAATAAGACCTCATGAAGTTGTTATCTGACAAAGTGAACAATCTAATTGAGGGGCTTATTGCTTAATAATAATTGCAGGAACCTGAGGATATAGAAGCTGAGTTTGCACAGATTGGCACCAAGGAAATTCTCAAGAACATATTTGCATTCCGCACTCGTGGACCTTTTTATTTTCCTAAAGGCAAAGGCTTCTACAATTCTGCTGATAATCCATCGCACTTGCCAACTTGGTTATCAGAAAACAATTTGGACTATTAAGCTGCAAAATTTGAGCAGACTGGATCCTCTGGAGGAGTGAATTACTACTGCGCACTTGGCAGGTATTCACCTCTTATTTCTTGTTGTAAATCTTATATTTACGTTCTGGGCATGAATGGTATGCAACATTGAATGGACTAGACGATGCAATAAACAAGATTTTAACTTCATCTTTTTCCTTAAAAGTAATGCTATTGAGCACTATTGGCGTTAAGCACTAGTCTAGGTGGCAATTGTAACACCCCAAATTTTCATAAA